TATCCGAAAGTCGGGTTGGAGTTTATTCAAATAAATAAATAATAAATGAATATTTGAATAAATAGATAGATAAATGGAATGAATAGTACTGTGCATAAACAAATGTTTTCCGAAACATACCATTTGGATCGAGCATATATAATCATTGTTGGTTTCAGTATGTTTTAGATGATAAAATGGCCAGCACGAGATTAATACAATCGATATGAGAGTTCGCCGCGCGCAAAGCCATGTTTATTTATAACATACGCCGAACAGACCTTCTTAACACACATGAAACGCCACTGAGCCCTTGACAATTTCTGTTTTCCTGTTTCTGGTGTGTCTAACAAATTCTTCAAAACATCCCATTTAGATACCTTTTTTGGTTTACGCTGTATGCTCAACAGATTGTGCGCTTTTTGTTATAAAAAGCTACCAGTCTGTCGGAACTACATCCATATTTTGCACATTCAGTATGCACGAAGTAGTGAAGAACCTGATATCATTGGCTATAGTACATGCATTAGTGAATGGGTTTCTGCATATGTCAGATGGTGAACTATTACTCAAATACCCTGATTCAAGTTGCAGTTTCAAGTTCACCATGGACCATGTACTTATGAGAGCAACCAGGTTGTTTCAGAGCAATTTTTCGACGTCTGACAAATGAAGGTGGACAATGAGGACACACTTAGCTAACTTACATGCAGTATAAGAACTGCAGACGGCGGCCAACCGGCTACAGTACAGGAAAGAGGAGAAGAAAGAGCGGGATGCTTTCACGCTGATCTCTTCAAGCTGGAAGGAACGGTGGTGCAGAACTAAACTTCTTTGCCCGCTACTTTAAAGCTGGGAGGATTTTGTGTAAGTCTTCAAGGACAGCCGAAATTGTGTTGCACAAATGTGCAGGAATTCTACGGAAGTTACGGTAATATCAGGCTCCTGTGACTCGTCTACTGCTCAGTACTGGTCCGTGAAATTCTTCTTGACTAAAAGTGTGGGTAACAAAGCGGATGAATTAGGGCTGATTTGGTTTTTGACTCTAGATAAGTGCAAGAAAAAAATTTCGTGAACGGAATCAGCCACTCTATGAAGTGTTCGTGGACCTCACTAAAGTCTTCAGCTTCATCATCAGTAGCGCTGCTGTTCGTCCCAGGAAAATCCTTCAACCTCATCATAACCTCTTATTCTGGGTTGAAGGAGAGAGAATATGGTACTACACAACTCCATCAGTCAAATTCAAAATCGGTAAAGAAGAGAGTCAAGTTAGCGCATGCATCAATACTTTTCAGAATCTACCTAAAAAGCGCGCAAAAAGAGGAATGCCAAATCAATAAGATTCACATGGCTACTTGTTTAAATCGCAGCTTTTCCTGGCCAGTACTTCAGCGCGCATCTCCACAATTCAGGTGGTTGTTTATCCAATTGTTGCACACTACTTCCGAATGCTATAGAATACTGGCAACGTATGAACACGGACTCTAGCTGACCTGCATCTTTCATTAGCTTAAATGGAAATGTTTTTAAAACACGTTTTGTCAGCATAAACTTGAGTCTGGACATGAAATTGTGAGCATTCTACCTAACATTCATCGTAGCTGTACACCAATCTTATGCTGACTGTAAACAAAACTCACAAACCTCGAAAGACAGCAGGGCATTTGGCTACCCTAACGATCTTGTACAGGTCGTGTGCATGACAGCGAAGGCTGGTCACTCTACAAGAGACCGATCCCACTTGGAATAACTGTGAAAATCTTTGTGGTCAAATGGGCGAACGGGTCCTGAAAACGGTATTTCCACAAGGAGTGAGTGACTGTGTAAACAAATACAGTCTGACACAAAGCCAGCTGGGTTGGTTAGCCCAAAGTGAAACAACCGCCGTAACTAGCAACCCAAACCAGCGTGTCTAATGTCAGCTGAAGAACGGGGTTTGAAATCGGGGACGTTCAAAATTCCAATACTGAGACAACCTCTGCGTAAGTTTGTGAAATTGTGGCTTCCATTTTAAGAAATGGGAGGACCTGGTTCGCGACAGGGAGGCCTAGGAGACGGCCATCCAAGTAGACTTGAGGAGTGTGAAGGTTTGATGCCTCTGTGGTGCAAGACAAACCGTCCATTGGTAACGGGCTCAATGGTCGCTGGTTTGTTCTCTGAGCTGGGAAATTTGATTGCAAACGTTTCACCACTAATCGAGGTAGCGTAGTGGAGCGTAGCGATATGTCGGTGCCCAACTGCTACACTCCAGTGCGCACCCTAACAATGCACTGATGATGTCACATCGATTAGTGATTAAACTTTTGCATTAAAATTGCTTAGCTCAGCGAGCAAACCACCAACCATTTATACTACCTAAGCTACCAACATCCTCCTCTATAGCAATAGGCCCAATCTCCCGATTGTGGTCTTAACATATTGGTCCCACACAACATGCGAACATGAGTAGAGTTGGTCTGTTGGTTATTAGCGTGATTAGAAACCAATCGCCTAAAGTTCAGCAGCTGAAACTGAGGTAAAATGGTTGTTTGGTAGTTGATCAGTTGGCTGTTGATCTATTCGCCGAGCTCCGTAATCGCCTTGCAAATATTTCGTCTCCATTTCGAGGAGACATTGTCATCAGTACAGTGAAGAGGACTCCTCGATAATGAAATGTCTGCAAGTAAATTGCTAAGGTCAGAGAACAGATCAACTGCCACCTGATCAGTTACAAATCTGACAATGTATATCCTGTACAACAAAAGGGGCTTTTACTCCTTTTTCATGTTTCATATTTATAGGATCTGCAAATACTTGCTAGAAATGCTTGCATGTCATGTAGAAATTGGGAAACAAGCTTCATGTTTGAGTACCTATCTTCGGATTGATCAAGACTCCGTGCGGCTTCCGCTCTGTACTACTGCACGGAGATCGTGGTGACCCCCAGTTGTCTTGGTAGATATTATTATCGGAAAAAAATCGACCGAAACGGAGTTCAACAAAATATTATTTCAAACAAATGCAAACATGGTGTATTCTTTGGTAATATCGCGTTCATTTGGACACATATATTTGAGCTATCCCAAAGCTATTTTTTCGCCACAGTTAAACGGTGAGGGGCAAGATGGCTCCGTGGTTAGATCACGTATTTACTAGCCGGAAGGTCTGTAGGTCGAACCCGACCTCTGTATCCCGACTTCTCCTGCCTAGGCTTGAGCAACCCGGCAGTATCCCAGCCCTCGCGTTTCCTTCAGATGGCATGGCACCGAAAGGGTGCTACAGTTGGTCGATTTATTTATTTAGTTATTTACAGTTAGACGATAAATTTGGTTGCCTTCAATGGAGTAGTTCCGAAAACAGTACTCACATATCAGTCTCACTGAAAATCGAGAACACTGTGATCGTCATCTTCGGACGTGTGTATCTCCATGAGCGCCGCGCATGACGACTGCGCCAAGCAACGGTTGCCGAACACATTAGTGAAATAGATTGGGCAGCAAGAAGAATACTGTTCCAAAAATTATGGAAAATGCAAACACTGTTGCTCCTGAGCTTAGTGATCAGCTTCTTTCAAGGCACACTTCTTAAAATATGGATATTTTAAGTTGCAGAAGAGGGGATAAAATTGAGAAAAATGCCGAAAAATGTCTATACTTATCCTCCATTTGTCAGTGGTTTTGTGGATATTCGTCCAAATACTGAATGGTGATAAGGGATTAGATTGTCAGCGTTTTTTTATACGTCCACCGGTCAATCACACATGCGTATTACTTGCACAATAACATCAACTCCAATAAGGATTGCTGGCTTCTTTTCATGAACTTCTGACACCGTTCAACAGGATTTGGTGATTGTGCTGTTTAAAAAACTAGGTTATCTGTGAAAAACTTCAGCAAAGACGTCAACCAGATGAATAACAGCGTTTAGTCTCGGCACCTTCCTGCGTCGGCAGGTACGTCACGGACAACGCAGCACAGCTTTGACGGCAGCTTCAAGGGGCAGATATTAAGGTAACAGAGAAGTCAGTGGTGACCGTGAAGGTGGTATGCTGCATTTAACTTCCTAAATTATCCAGTAGGAGTGTGCTAAAAATTAAATAGGCACGTAGAAGTCATGATTAGGCCACCATATTAAGGTTTTCACATTTACCCATCACAACGTTGATGCTCTACTGAGCTCCACTTTTGTAGAGTTTATGGCCCTCTATTCCTGCTATGGAGTACATAATAGAATTTTGAAATAACTAGCCACAGCTGCCTTGTGACGTGCTAAATCCAACGAATACTTGTTCATACTCGAACCGATTGTCATTCAAAGAGAGTGGAAGTGAAGGCTTCCGATTACGGAGTGAATGGTTGATTTAAGAAAAACAATGATGTGATTGAACCTTCTTGATGGCATGGTTTATGTATCCCAAGACCAGCCATCAACTGGCTTTGCCTCATCACGGACACCCCAGTAAGCAATCATCGAAGCTCAGGAGAACAGTGAGTATGGCAGTAGTGGAGCAAGTACCTGTGTTTCCACACGAAATCACTGAGATATAAAGGAGTCCACACATAGACGCAGCTGTGGTTCAACAGATGATCGGTCAGGGCATCGAAACCTGACTCGACGACCCCACAAGTTCAAACATGCCGCATCAGTGGGGTATTCTGTCTTCACTAGTTGTGTGGTAATCCAGTATTGTGGCAACTCGTTAGTAACCTAGCCTACCCATCCACAGACTCGCGTGTCGAAAGGAATGACGAGGAGTAAAGGAATTCCACCACTTATGAAAATCGGTGGATGTTGAAGTTACCTTGGTTGATATCCGGCGCCATTGGGTTTATTTTGAGATTGCATAGATGTCCAAGTGTGGAGATCGGTGGATCGTCGTAAATTCGTGGTGAGCAATTATCAGACTTACATCGCATACGAGAGAGGAAGTGTAATGACAAAGGAGACGTCTACGGGGGGGCGGTAGTTCCAAAGCGTTTGCCAGTGTTATAGCAGCGAAATGGCTTTTGCAAAATATACGCTTCTCTTTCTGAGAATTAAGTGAAAAAAGAAAATATGTTTATTATTCGATTCTCAGATAAAGCGACTCTGGGTTTTTGATCATCATGTGACTAGTCTTCCGTTCAGCATACCTTGTAATTACCCTTGTTGTTTTTAAGAATCCAGTAGCAGACATTGGCAAGGAAAGGTGTTCAATTTTTTCTTCTCTAACTCATTAGTCATTGTCGTGCAGATTTTCGTCCATCCGCCTAAACTATTGACTGGATTGTTACTAGGGTCGAGCAATGTGTTTTCCATACCCTTCGGCGTTTGATCTAACCGGCATTGTCATATGGGCAAGAGGCTGTTTAATATTCAGGTTTAAGCGTATAATTAGTATATTGATTTGTTTCACCGCCCTAATACATTCCCGCATCGTTTTCAGTCAAAATCACGTTTTCCGTGCACTGACGGCCAGCTAGTGTCTCGTAATAAGCATATCATATGGTCAAATCAATTGTTTTTTATTCGGGTATTTGTGCGACTTTGTGTTATGCTGTCTGGCTCGATTTTTTGACTCAAGATCATACCGTAAGAGGGCATCAAACAAACTGCATTGAAAAACGATGTACTTATCTACGTTGGTGATCGTGAAAAAGATACTTCGGGATTCTTCCAGGAAGGTTTTGAGTTTTCATACATATAGGTTATCCAGGACATTGCAATCACAACATCATATGCTTTCTGGTTGCCAGTCATCAGCAGTGGAACACACGCAGCTACCGGCTTACAATCTAGGGCAGATAGATAGCAAGCTCGTCTGATACTTATCTGGCGGCATTTCAAACACCTGTGCGAAAGTTCGAGTAATACGAGTATTGCAAGTATGATCCAGAAAATTCAGGTGCCTGTATTTTGACCCATATGTATTTTATCGCTGTCACATAAGCCCTTAAGTCAAAATTCATTTGTGTAACCATTTGATAAGCGCAAGAAAACAGTGCACACTTAACTGAATGGAAACGACCAGTTATTTTATCTGACTAGATTGAGATTTCGGGCTTTATGAAATAAGAAGCGCATGATCTTAGGACAGTGTACACAATTGTCAAATTATTTTTAGGGAAGCCATGGATCTGATGGTCGCCAAGTCAAGAACTGAAACATTTTCATCTTAGAACGAGTGTGTAAGAGGAGCTTCACCTCCCGAATCTGATTAATTTCTTGCCCTCAATCCCCTGGAAAAACCCCGGAGACTTGACAACAGCTCATTATTGAATTAGACTAAGGTCAACTAAAATATTTGCCATTCTGCTTGTCACGACCCTGCAACGAAGTTACCTAGTTAAACTGGCAAACGTTTCCTGTCTAGTTTGCTGATGGTGGTAGAATAAATGGCCAAGCAATGTCATTGCTCGGTATTCTGCTTTTCCGTTATTTGATGCCTACTTTTTAGCAATGATATGTGCCGTTTTCAGTTGTGTTACTAGGAAACAGCTCTTCAGGAGGATAAACTGACTTAATACACTATCTGTAAGGTTGCTGAAAATTCTTCGAAAGCCCATGAGCTGTTTCGCCCTTCTTAGGGCTCATCAGGTAGACGCAGTCCCTAAGTGTCCGTCAACCTTATGTTTTGCTTGAAACCACATTACACTGAATTAGTGAAGTACATTCATTTAAAAATAAGTGTTTTCTGCGGAAGGCACATCTATAACCCAGCTGAATCTCTCAGTTGAGATGTTTCTAAGCTATTTCCGTGCAATTTGGTTTCAAATGGAATATAAGGTTGATGCAAACTCGGGGACTGCGCCTACCTGATGATCCCCATGAAGGGTGAAACCGGTCGTAGGATGTCGAAGAGTTTTCAGCAAACTTGTGAGTGGTTTCCTTGATAAGTGGCAAATAAGTTAGATTTCTCCAATAGGATATGGTGCCGTTTTAATGAAACAGCTAATACTGTTCTTCATATTGGTCCTCCGGGGAACAGTTCACATGAGGGGACCAGCGTACACCAATGGACAAGATTCCTCCTTTCCGGCTTCAATGTCTTGGTCTTAAACAGTAAATCAGCTGAAATTTCTTGAAGTTCTTCTGACTACTTAAGAAAACCTCACCCTGCATCCACAAGGAGGAAAGAAAACAATCATGTGAAATGTCAAGCCCGAATGAGCCTGAATTCGCTGTGTTGGGCTGTTGAGTTCATCCTCAATGAGGCGGCAGGAAAAGTGAAGAACAAACCTAAAAATGCAAAAGTTGGTTTTGCGATGGTATTATGGATGACTCCTGGACACATACACGCAGTAAACCAAAAACTTTAAACTGAGGGAGTGTCCTTGGTGAGAAGTTTTGTCTGGCTTAACGGTCGCAACTGAATTGTTTTTGAAGTTATAAATTCTAAGGACTATTACTTGGTGCTTTCAAGTACCATGCGTTGGGCTGCGAAGAACTCATATTCTTCATTAATAATGCCTGTGAACGCGGGGTGATTGCGTCTCCAAGTACTTGTTCTTCACATCAGATGGAAACTAAACCAAAATAATCTAAGGCAATTTCGTACATCCAGTTGTTCCATTCACTTATTAGTGTGACTTCGGTGAATGAGCCGGACTTCGAAAAAATGGGATAGAATTCACCACCTATTGTTCTGATTGTGTGCATTGAATCAATATGGATACGACAAACATTTGGAGTGGACATACTGATTCCGTGGAAACTTCAAAACTGCATGCATTTGTAAACGGAACTAAATTGAGAGCCATTGATCGACCCGACCTAAAGCTGCCACCTTGACGTGGTGGCCGGGCTTCAGTGCTGCAATGATCCCGCGGGCTACACTGGCTGGACCTTCGTTCCACAAGGCACAACCATGCCAGGAAGGCCAAAGGGGAGCAGCCAGACCAAGAGCAGCGAGACCCCGTACTACGAGTAATCGTGCTACGAGGCGGTCTGG